GTTTGAAATATTATTACTGCATTTGTTACATCTTATTTATTAATAAGTTAAAAATCATTACTTACGTTTGTTTAGCGTAATTATTTTGAATAAAAAACGTCCTTGTGGTGCATTTTGATAGGACAAACAGTTTAGACATTCACAAACTCAATATTTTCAATGAATAGATTATACTATTAATTTTTTGTTGTTTTAAAATAATTCTAAGTTTTTAAATTTATTCAAAACTATTAAGTCAAAGATTTATATAAATAAGCTATAAGACGTACCTATAAACCTTTGAAAGAGAACATAATATTATTATAATAATAAATAATTTAAAAAACTTGCACCGACTTTGCAATCGTTAGTTAAAATTTAGTGCAAAATACAACATAAACAATTCAAATATTACGGTCGTATGAATTCATTCAATAATTCACTACAGCCGATCAAAAATCCACTGCTGAACATAGGCCTCCCCTTAGATTGCGTCATAGGAGGGATTTGGCACAGTTGAGCCCACAAATCACAGATGATTTCTTATATTTACGCGAACACTACACATGATTAAAACTACTTTTACGGATTTTATCGCGTTTATTTTTGCTTTTAATTACTTTTATTTTTAATTCCCGACGTTTCGGACGCTTTCCAGCACCCATGGTCACGGGGGACTGAGATGACTGACGTCCCGATGTCATTGTTAAACCCGGAGTACCTTCAACTTTTTTAATTATTGTTTATGGTCCGATCTATGCAAAATGAACTGACTATGTCCTGAGGTCTTGCAGTGGTATGCTTGGGTTTAGTTTTAATTTTATTGATTATAGGATCCCAAGCAGGTGGTAGTACCCAGCCTCCTTCTCTATTGAAATTAGGATGTTTTTTAATTTCAATAGCCTCACATATCATCCTTGGTAGGAATCGGTGTTCTTTCGCGAGGATTTATGGTCTATCAAATCTGATGTAATGGTTGGGGCCGTCTAGGATATGATCACAAACTGCAGACTTCCCGGAACGTTGATGCTTCACATCAGCTATATGTTCTTTTACGCGGGTTCTAATTGATCTTTTTGTTTGTCCTATATAAGAGAGACCACATTCACAATCAAGCTTGTACACTCCTGCATCTTGTAGAGGAATATGACACTTGACGGATGGTAGGAACTGACTAATCTTCTTCGGCGGCTTGTAGAATGTTCTAATAGAAGCTTGCTTCAAGATATAGCCAATCTTGTCTGTGACACCTCTGACACATGGTAGTACAGCAGGCACACGCTCGACTGTGGCCGGCTTCACTCGGTCACTGTGACGTAGCGCGGGACCCGAAGCTTGTTGTCGTGCAGAACTTGCTTGACGTGCTGAAGCTCGGCTGCCAGGTATTTGCTGTCACAGATCCCTCGTGCTCTCTGTAACAAAGATTTGCCCACGGTAGCTAACTGTGAAGGATGGTGGTGAGATTCACCGTTTAAATATCGGTTTGTATAGGTCTTTTTCCTATACACAGTGTGACCAATGGTGTTATTAGGATTTCGGATGACTAACACATCTAGGAAAGGTAAGGAATTATTTGCCTCTAACTCCATAGTAAATTGAATTTTAGAGTTTATGGAATTAAGATGTTCTAAAAATGCAGTTACTTTGTCTGATGGTAAAATTGTGAAAGTATCGTCTACGTACCGCTTGTAGATCCTTGGTGTAACAGGTGCAGTAAGGAGGGCTTTCTCCTCAAAGTCTTCCATGAATATATCGGCGACAATGGGAGATACAGGTGAGCCCATCGCAACACCATCTACTTGCTTGTAAAACTCTTCCTTCCACAATAGATAGCCAGATGTAAAACAATGTCTTAGTAATAGTGCATATTCTGCTGGCATCTTATTTTCCTCTAGTTTACTAGTTATAATTGATAGATAGATGCAGTCTTCAACAGGTAGGCATTTAAATAGAGACTGAACATCAAAACTGACCATGGTTTCATTGTCAGTAAGATGTAGGTCATTTATTTCACTGACAAAATGGTATAAATCCTTAGTGTGTGCTCTTGTGTGTCCTCTGAGTGGTGATAATATTTTAGCTAAGTATTGAGCCAATCTGTAAGTTGGCGAAACAATCTGACTTATAATGGACGTAATGGAGCATTCGGTTTGTGTATTTTTGGTAACCCATACAACTTCGGTAGTTTGGCACATGAAGGTATTATCGAATTATTTCGATACGAAAAAAAAAATATTCTGGGTATGCCAGAAGCAGCATAAAAGCAAGTTGAATGCAGTGGAGATGCGATCTCTTCGTAAAATGTGTGGCGTTACCATAGCCAACCGAAAGCGAAACGAAGAGATTCGCAATATGGCAGGATTGAAAGATGACCTTATCACAAAAATTGATAGGGGCGTACTCCAATGGTTTGGGCACGTTGAACGAATGAGTGAGACCGAATGGTGAAGAAAATATATAGAGCGAAAGTAAATATTAAAAGGTGTCGAGGTAGACCGAGACTAACTTTCGAAGACCATGTGAGCAAATTGCTCGAAGAGGGGAGGGTCAAGAGTACTCGGATACCTAGACGTGCATGTATGAAGAAGTTAATGAACCTGAAAGAAGCGAAAGAGGTATGTAAGGATCGTGACACTTGGCGATCTGTTCTCTCTGGCTACCCCGTTAGGGATTGTGCGTGAAGATAAGTAAGTAAGTAAGTAAGTAAGTAAAAAAAAATATTCGAAATAATTCGATAATACCTTCATATCGAAATAATTCCTATCCTAATAACACCATTGGTCACACTGTGTATAGGAAAAAGACCCATACAAACCGATATTTAAACGGTGAATCTCACCACCATCCTTCACAGTTAGCTACCGTGGTACCGGTACTACAAATCTTTGTTACAGAGAGCACGAGGGATCTGTGACACCAAACACCTGGCCGCCGAGCTTCAGCACGTCAAGCAAGTTCTGCACGACAACAAGCTTCGGGTCCCGCGCCTACGTCACAGTGACCGAGTGAAGCCGGCCACAGTCGAGCGTGTGCCTGCTGTACTACCATATGTCAGAGGTGTCACAGACAAGATTGGCTATATCTTGAAGCGAGCTTCTATTAAAACATTCTACAAGCCGCCGAAGAAGATTAGTCAGTTCCTACCATCCGTCAAGTGTCACATTCCTCTACAAGATGCAGGAGTGTACAAGCTTGATTGTGAATGTGGTCTCTCTTATATAGGACAAACAAAAAGATCAATTAGAACCCGCGTAAAAGAACATATAGCTGATGTGAAGCATCAACGTTCTAAGAAGTCTGCAGTTTGTGATCATATCCTAGACAGCCCCCAACCATTACACCAGATTTGATAGACCACAAATCCTCGCGAAAGAACACAGATTCCTACCAAGGATTATACGTGAGGCTATTGAAATTAAAAAACATCCTAATTTCAAACAAGGAGGCTAGAAGAGAGACTAGAGAAGGAGGCTGGGTACTACCACCTGCTTGGGATCCTATAATCAATAAAATTAAAACTAAACCCAAGCATACCACTGCAAGACCTCAGGTCATAGTCAGTTCATTTTGCATAGATCGTACCATAAACAATAATTAAAAAAGCTGAAGATACTCCGCGTTTAAAATCGGCGATAAAATCCGTAAAAGTAGTTTTAATCATTTTTCCCTGTTTTAGTTTCCTGTTAGCTATACTTGTACTATGTATTGTTTGTAAAGTTCAATTGTATCACTTGATTAATCAGCCAGGATAAATAGCATTTATCTGACGATTTAAAAATTAGTTCTAAATGAAGTTAATAATTTATAGGTAGTATATTAGCATAATTATCGCGTAGAAAAGGAAACACACGACTGTTTAATAATAACTATAACGTCATATGTCTGCTTTCAGTTTTAGCACCACCGCTGACCTCGTACAGAACTAACAGAGTTGAGAATTATGCATGTATAAGTATGTACCTATATAATTTAGGGTATAAATAATATGTTGTGCAATATGAAACGTAATACTATACTTATTAATAGCACAATCATTTTTTATCGTCTTTGTTTTTATTGGGTACTAGAATCTTTCAGACGGCTGTAAAAGTCTATTCCATCAAATATAGTTTTTCATAAAAATCTGTATCGTATTTGAAAAAAACTCCGAAACGGTTTAGAAAAAATCGTTTTCTTTTTAAACCTCCTTCGTACTCATCAACTCTTATTCTAAAACAACCCAGTGATGCTCAAAGCTTAGTAACTGTATCGTAATGTAGATATTGTATCTGAATATTTTAGTAAGTTTATTATACATTACTGTAGTTTGTCAATGCATATAACAAAATACTAAAAGTAATTTACAGTTTTAATATGTATAGGTCCTACCTACGCTGCATTACTTTGAGAAATAAGTCTGATCTGTAGACTAGACAGTAGATGTTATATAATACAAACATCATCACAGGATATTTCAAATAAGAGATATGACAAACACACTCAAAATAATACTTGCAACGCATTAATATTGTCATAGGGTCAGAGTCTCAGCCTCTCGGTATTCTATATCCATAGGATACATTTCGTATGCGCAGAAACATGTAAGAAACATTAAATTTTCAATAATACCAAAAGAGTGCTAAAGCTTTTTACATATTACCCCTATATCCCCGGCAAGGGCCCCCCCTTTTGAGGTGTAGAAAAAAAATAAAAAAAAAAAAATTTGTCACGTTTTCTGCAATTAACATCACAAAATTAAATACATGCGACCTTTCTATTCAATTAATAGGCAACCGGTTTAATATGATAAAAGTGATAAAACCTACAATTAAAAAAAAAGATTCACGTGATGTTTTAAATTAGACGACTTACACCAGCATTAATATTCAGTCGTCGACTATTTGCTGACTGTGACTATTGATTACGACGATACTACAGTGTGATCTTAGTGAAAGCTAAGCCTTTCTTTCTACATTACTTTCTTCGAAACGGAAATATTTAACAGTCAATTATGTAACTGTTAATTTAGAACATGTTTGTACCTCAAATGCATCAGGGTCCTCGCTTTCAGCAATGCTTGTGAAGAGATGACTCAGCGCACGAGACATCAACCCGGTCATCGTGTGAGTTTTTCCGGCTCCAGTTGCTCCATATGCAAAAACTGCACCAGCGATCCCGCGTAAAGTGTCACCCACCAGTGGCGCACATATCGCTTCGTATACTTCTTCCTATATCGATAATAATGTTAAACATGAATAACGAATAAACTAATGAATATAATTTAAGGGACATAACAATATATGAATGAATAGTTTAGTACGTGAGGGTAATATGGTCATGCGGTTAATATGGTCACTTTCTTATTACGCAAAAACGACAGCCTTGTTTGCATGGATGGCTGTGTGATACGATAGCTCTTCATCATTCAATCAAATAATAAAGAGTCAAAAGAGCGCTGCTTTATCTACGTCATTTTGACACTTGACATTATAGTTAATATTTAAGTCGTAGACAGAGAACGTTGGGGACTTCAATAAAAGACTTAACCACCCCCACTGTTAACAAGGAGGCGCTGCCGTGCCCCCCTTCTTAAAAAAGAAACCTATAGACGAATTGACGCCTTCTTTTGCATTCGCACACGAAAGAGATAGATTTATGCATAAGTCTTGCATAGAAATGAGACAGAGCGGTGTGATTGTTTGTCCCTTTCTCCGTGCCGGTTTTTTTGTTTAGCAAACTACACTTTGCTAAACAACTTTGACAGTTCGTAGCGATCTAAGGAGTTTGCAAGTTGGTTTAAGTGAGAAAAAAAGTGTTTTGTGAGCTTAAGATTGGTGAATCTTGTTCAGTTCAGTTCTTAGAACGATTAAATGTTTATCTAAATATGTTTAAAAGTCATAAATATTATTGTATAACCTAAAATTAAATAATTAATAAAGTTGTCGCCCTTTCTCAGTGGAGACCACGCTAATCATCAATCTATAGGTTTCTCAGTCTACGCAATCAAATAATAAAGGGTCAAAAGAGCGCTGCTTTATCGACGTCATTTAGACAGTTGACATTATACTTAGTTAATATTTAAGTCGATTTTAGTATTGCGTAGTGTAGTTAGTTTTTTGAGTTGATTTTTCGAATTGTTTCTAATTATTGCAATAACTATAATATTGTTTCTCTAATTAGTTATAGTATACGAATTTGTGTTTTTGTTTCTGTCCTCCTCTTAGTTTTGGTCTTTTAGAGTAGCAAAGCTTAAGGTGACCGTATTACCCTCACGTACCTTATATATTAAGTGATAAACCATGTAGTGTGCTTGTGTAAAAATATCCAGGGGTAGTCAACCCACCTATCAAGTGAGCTAACACAAGTATCCCCCTAGGCAGGGGTCGGCAACCTTTTAAGTCAGAAGAGTCAAAAATTGCAATTACCAAAATTTCAAAGTTTTAAAGAGCCACAAATTTTTCCTTGCCAACCATAAATAGTACTTGCATAAATAAAGTATTTTGATAGAAAAAAACTGATTCGTTCATTCATACGAAACATATATATTTATTCATCATATAAAAGTAGTTTTTTTCACAACAAATTAGAATCTAATTTCTATTATTATTATCTATTTATTAAATTATATATATACACACGCATAAGCACATGTTTTTTTTAAATCGATCGAATTTTTGAATCAACATTTCTAGAAATCCAGTATCAACTTCAAATGGACCAGTGTGGATTTCGTGTGTGTGGTTTCGGTGAAAAGCGAGTACAAGTGGCTAAGAGATAGAAATGGTGCCTAATACTCGTTAATCGATTCAGAAAGATTCTTAAATGTTTTTTTTTATTAAATAATTAACATTTGCGTATGGAACTAAAGAGCCGCAGCTTCACATCCAATGAGCCGCACGTGGCTTGCGAGTCGCAGGTTGCCGACCCCTGCCCTAAGGGTAATATAGGCATTCTATGAGAAGGCCCGTGTTCGACAGAGGACTTTTAATATGATATAATGATAATGATAAGTATATCTATACATATAAATAAAATTGAAGTATCTGTCTGTAATAACGAAATAAATGGCTTCCTTTAATCTCAGGGGTCTATTTCCATGCTATTTATTAAGACATCAATAACCATAGAATACTATAATACACAATAGAATGGCTGTCAACCTTATTTTGTACGCGGGTCGGCGTCGCTGGGAGCACACATACAAGCAATTACGTCGTATTATCACTACTACAAACCCGATTCGCTGTGTTGACAGACTGAGTAAATTTAAACATTTTAGACTTTTGATTAATGTTCAAGATCATCATTAAAAAAATCCTTTAAATTTTAATACATATTAATTTGTAAATAGTGTGCAATTTGGCATTTTCTAAAAATAATTTGCATGCGAAATTTGGAAACGATTGTAACGTCAAAACACATCTCGTGTTGACAGTTATACGTGTGAATTGCCGTGTTAGTGACATTTTAGTGGCTACACGGGCTCCGCCCACACCCCCGTTCTAATATGTATATATTGTAGTATTCTATGTGAATAACCATGTTTTTTAAATACGGCCACCTGGACGTTCAAAACGAATTTGAAAACCAGACCGATTTAAAGGAGCTTAATAGAGGAAAAAGATTTTATACGTGATAGAATCGTGTTGCAACTATATTATGGTTTTCGAATGGCTCATCTCTACCGGGGAAGGACTACACTCTCATAGAATACCAGCGTAAAATAGCAGCTTAATTGCTGTGTTTCGTACGATTAGTGTAGAGAATCATGTTTACTGGAAGTGAGGTATTCCGTCTTAGTTTTCAGGGCTGATAAGTGATAAAGCATAGGTATTCACTTTGATTTTAAACGAGGATTAGATGTAGATGTGTATGAGCTTCCTACAGCATCCGCTTACTATCAGGTGGCGCTTCTATGTGCTTTTTGTAACCCTTATTCAATAAAAAATTATCCACCTATCTCACTAAAAACATCTGCTGTTTATTTTATTCGAAAAATGTTTCCTACGAAGTTGACAGATTTCGACAGTATTCAGAAGTTGTCGCGATTGAAAATGGACGGGAAGACATAACCATCATGAAACTTTTTTATAAAGATGCATATTATTATGCTTCACCTGAGTGCTGTCCTCGTTGAAAACTCGGTCGTATATATAATGCTTGTCGTTGATTCGCCGTTGTCGGAGCACGTCACGACGACTGTCTGCTTCCTCCTCTAACACCAACATCTATAAAATCAAAATGTTTTCAAGTACTTTCAGACATATAAAAAAACTTGTTTAATAGGTGCGTTTGGCAGAAAAAAGCGCTAGCAAGCGCTTCTAAGCAAAATGGCGAAACTAAACAGTTTTCGGCCAGGACACGTTTGCTAACTTCAGTAGCGCTGACACAATCCGCCATTTTGCTTATTTAATTTGTTTGCTTTGTACATAGAGTTTATAAGTTGTTCTTTGCAATATTAGTTTTAAGTAATATAATGACATGAAAGACATATACATGTTATTAAAAATTCATGATATCATCATATATTTAAATTAGGTTAGGTTCCCCGGTTAAAACTAACTTCGTGTCCTAGAGGAAAATAGCTATTTACCATTTGACAGCGCTTACCGCTTACGATCGCCATTTTGCTTACAAGCGCTTGCTAAAGCTTTTTTCTGCCAAACGCACCCAATAATAATATCCGAGTTGTTCCGAGTGTTCCGAGTTCTATCTATCTTATATGTCTGTATATCATATTATCTTTCTCTCTCAAAAAAACAAAACTTTTTTTCTAATGCCGAGCAAAGCTCAGTTGCATTAAACTTTTTTCAATTATTTCGTGTCTTTTTTTTATATCCTAAAAATTCTAAACTAATTTTCGCACAAATCCATATCAATTTCTGATTGTGAACTCTTTGATTTACTTAGAATACAAAAAAGTTATTGTCCTCTTATATTATATATATATTACTGACCTCTAAATGAAATCTATTGTTAGCGAGTACTTATTAGCAAATGCATCCCTTTAGGGATAGAGATTTATCTCTACGTCACATGATTTGATGATATCCCTCCAAATATAACCATTTCACATTAATACAGTATACAAAATTTCTTTCATTTTAATTTATATATTTTCATGTCTGCTTATTAGAATGCCATCTATGGCAAATATTTACATTATACGATTCAATATTGTAATAAATTGCAAATCATTCGGGAAGTGTCCGAAAACCTGCTACATTATTTGTAATATTTCTTTTTAAAAGGTCCATGGGCCTATATAAATATGTAAAGAGTGTCTTATAAAAGCCTACCTCCAAGTTCTGTCACACAAATCATAACGTAAAAATTCAATTCGTTACACAAAGATCATCATCACCTTATCGCTGACAACGTGCACGATGCGTGGGCCCTCATTCCCGCTTAATGGTCGCACACGCACTGCCACCTGAAAGAAACAATCTTTCCATAATGCGATTCATATATTTGCCCTTTTTGTATATTATGTACACAAGTGGTAAAATTAAAAGATTTGTACAAACGACTTCAATATAAATAAAGTGAGAAAATCATCAATTTAGTCGAAGTCAATTAAATAGGTAAGCATTATTAAGGATAACTCAAAAACTACTCGACAGTTCTTGATCAATTTTATATGGGGCCACACGAGAAGCACCAGCTTTTAAATAAAAGAAAATCATTAAAATCGGTTTATCTAGAAAAAAGTTCTGAGGTAGCACACATAAAAAATACAGTCAAATTGAAGACCTCCTCCTTTTTTGAAGTCGGTTGAAAAATAAGCTTAACAATGAGAAATAATAAGTTTAACAATGAGAGATTTCTACGCTCAATTGTGGAACGCAGTGACGCAGTATGGGTTGCTGTCGCCCAGGTTTGCTAGAGCCAAATCTTAAAAATCTAAAATGTTAAAACAAGTCTTCTATAAGTCTTCGTGAATCATTTAAAAATGAAATTTTAACTTTGTGCAAGTGAGTGTGTGATTATCTCTATTTTCAGAACTTTCGATGCTATATGTTCATGATTTTAATAAAAAAATTTAAATAACACAGATTTTTGAGAATTTCCCTGTTGTTAATGAAAACGATAAGGCGTTACTGAAAGACATAACCAAAATGCCGCCCCGTAGAATCTCTTGTAGCGGGCGATGCTCTGTGCTAATGTTTTACAAAACATACTCGTATAATATTTTTCAATAGTTTGGTCGAGTAGCGGCGGTGTAAGAATATTCACTACCCCATATCGTTCCGTTTAAGAAGCGACTGAGGGAAAAGAACCCGGAAATGGGCAGCAGCGCCTTCCTTATAGCAACTACAAAATAAAATAAAATAAAATCATCATCATCATCATCACAGCCCTTCACAAGTCTACTGCTGAACATAGGCCTCACCCAGGGTACGCCACAAGGTCCCCGTGTAGTGGCGGTTGAGAATGTCCACTACCCGGTATCTTCCCGTGGGTGTCGTAAGAGACGACAAGAGACAGGCAGGAGATGGGCAGCAGCATCTTCCTGATAACAACTGTGTTATAATAAAAAACTGCGGTTGCCAACCCGCTCGCCAAGCGTGGCAACTATGGCAAATATCCGCCCATAAAATAAAATATTCCAGTCCAACTGGCAACTGTGGCAACTATAGCAACTGTCCCCCTTAGGCGGTCCATATTCAGCAGTGGACTTTTTCATAATTTATGCATTACAGCCTCAAAATTCTGTAATGAATAAAGAAATGAATAATTTTTGCATCCTTTGCACTTGTACCTAAGTAGTAGGTACTAGACTGTGACCTTCATCTATAGGAGAATATTAGTAGTAAGGTAGGTACGTTGGAGTAATATGGTCACCTTAGGTAAGCTTTGCCGCCCTATAAAACCAAATCTAGGGGAAGGACAGAGACAAAAACACAACGTCGTATACTATAACTAATATATTAAGAAAAAAATAACAAATAAGCTTTGGCAATAATTAGGAACATTTCGAAAATATTTACTTTAAAAAACTAACTAAACTACACCATACTTTAAATGGACTGAAATATTTGCTACAATGTTAACTGTCAAAATGGCGTCAATAAAGCATCGATTTTTGCCTCTTTGTAATTTGATTAACCAATGAAGAAGTATCGTAACAAAGCCATCCCATGCAAACAAGGCTTGTAGTTTTTGATTTTTGAGAAAGTGACCATATTAACTGGATGATCATATTACCCTCATGTACTATAGTGTTTTTTTTTTTTGTAAATGATTTTTGTCGCTCGTTGTACTCGATCTTGTCTCATTCATAGTTATTCGGCGAAGAAACGCAGCCAGCGTCCTTGGCACTAGACCACGGGGAGTAGGACAATATTACATTTTTTAGTAGAAGTTTATTTTAATATAAGTATCGGATATTTTCATCGTATGTAATTGAATGTATATATTTTTTTTAGTAAAGTATAATATAATATTAAAGATATAGACATTAATAGGTATCTATGACTCAGCTTAACCGATTTCTGTACGTTTATATCAACTTCATTACATACTATACCAATATTTACAAGCAAATCATTTTACGAGTAACTAAGCAAAACCAGTCCAACTACTAAATTTAACAAGTTTAGTATTTTACATATGTACTTAATGCAATACCTTCATATAACCTTCGTCATAAGACTCGCAAGACCTTCACTACTAACCCCATTCCAATGTGAAAAATAAGTGCATTGAAAGACTTCTGTTTTCTATAACTTTTTACCCAAACATTATTTGTTTGCAAAACTAAATTAACTTAAATTATTGTACCATTATTTTAAATACGTACCAATTAAAAAATGCTCAAAATTTATTTTTAAATAGGATTTAACTTTAGAATCAACTGCTTAATTTAGATGCAACGTTACAGGTTCTACGTAAATATCTGCCATACCATAAAACTACATAACATAAAATACCTGCACTAAAAGTATCGGGAATAGAATATTTCCACTGTTCCTGTCATATTAAAATCTTTTTAATTGAAAACTCCTTAGTTTTAAAAATCGAATACCATTTATTTATTTAAAAAAACATTCTCAGTCTTGTCACAAGGTTTTGTCAAACTTGTTTAGTCGTTGAGAAAATGGAAATGACTCGAGAAAATTCAAGAGCGATGATTTATTATGACTTTCGAAGTGGTTTAACACAAAAACAGTGTGTTGACCGGATGATTTCTGCATTTGGTGATGAAGCCCCACCAGAACCCCAATTTATCGCTGGTTTGCTGAATTTCAACGTGGACGTGTCAAGCTCAGTGATGATCCCCGTCAAGGTCGTCCAAAAACTGCAGTCACCCAAGAAAACGTTGATGCTGTGCGTAAGCTGATTGAGGAAGATCGACATGTGACATACCGCGAAATTCAGGCAACTTTAGACATTGGCATGAGTCAAATACAAATAATCTTGCATGAACAATTAGGTGTAAAAAAGTTGTTTTCCCGATGGATACCGCATTCGCTCTGTGAAGAGCAAAAAGCGGCTCGCGTTACTTGGTCCTTAATTCTGTATACGCAGGATCCTCAAATCTGTATACAACATCGTATCAGGTGACGAATCCTGGATATATGCGTACGAACCCGAAACAAAAAACCAGTCACGAGTTTGGGTGTTCGAAAATGAGTTAAAGCCAACAAAAATTGTTAATTCACGGAGTGTTGCAAAAAAAATGGTGGCCACGTTTGTCTCCAAAACCGGCCATGTTACGACTATTCCTCTTGAGGGACAAAGAACGGTTAATGCAGAATGGTATGCTTAGCTAGCATTTGTTTGCCACAGGACGTTTCTGAACTCCGTAAAGAGAACTGCAACCGCCGCATCATCCTCCATCACGACAATGCGAGTTCTCACACCGCACACAGAACAAAAGAGTTTTTAGAGCAAGAAAACATAGAACTATTAGACCATCCGCCGTACAGCCCCGACCTAAGCCCTAATGATTTCTATACTTTCTCTAAAATAAAGAATAAATTGCGTGGACAGAGATTTTCATCACCTGAAGAAGCTGTGGACGCCTACAAAACGTCCATTTTGGAGACCCCAACTTCCGAATGGAATGGTTGCTTCAATGATTGGTTTCATCGTATGGAAAAATTTGTCAAATTTCGCGGAGAATACTTCGAAAAGCAATAAATACATTTTTAAATAGTAATGTTGTGTCACTTCCTTGATTAACGAAATTTTCAGCGCCGCCCTCGTATTTGTTTTTTTTATTTATGTACTCACAAAGAGCTACAGTCTTAGTCAGTTAGTAAAAAGGTTCTACTTATTCCATAATTTGCTGAAATATCATCCAGTATATAATTTTCCATAAAGGATAATATTTTTTTATAAAATGAAGTACGTCAACAACCAGAATTTAATTCTCAGCGGCACAGTGGAAACAGTATTGAAATTTTAACAGCTGATTTACCAAGTACTCGGCAGTGAAGGAATACACCGTATAATAAAATCTGCATGTCTGAGAAGCAGCAAGTTCGTAAGACATAAGTAAAGAGAGGACTTCTTTTCTACCTTGGATTACGTCTGGGGACAACTTATCTGCCGCCAAAAATACCTAGCAGTGCTTACATTTATGTGTTCAGGTTTTTTTTTATAGGATAGGGTGACAAACTAGCACACAGTCCACCTGATGGTGAGTGGTTGCTGCGGCCCATAGACATCTACATCTATCCTCGATTACAAATCAAAATGCAGATGTGTTGTCACCAGCGAGGACTAAGATGGAATGCCTCGTTTCCACTAAAAACTGTCTCCGGTTCTCTACACTCACCATACGAAACGCAGCAGCATTAAGCTACTATTTTACGCTGGTATTCTGTGAGAGCGTGTTCCTTACCCGGTCGAGCCGACCCATTCGTGCTACAATATAACTGCATCATGGCTCTACCACGTATGAAAGGTCTTATTCTTTTCTAGTTTGCCACCCGTATAGTATATATACGGGTGGCAAACTAGCACACAGCGCACATTATGGTAAGTAGTTGCTGTGGGCTATAACATATACATATACCCTCGATAACGAATCAAAATGCAGGTGCGTTGTCATCCCTGAGGACTAAGATAGAATGTCTCGTTTCAAGTAAACAGGGTCTCCGGTTCTCTACACTCACCAAACAAAACAAAGCTGCTATTTGACGATAGTATTCTGTGAGAGCGTGGTCCTTGCCCGGTCGAACCGACCCATTCGTGCTACAACTATAATATAGCTGCAGCGTGGGTCTACCACGTAAAATATAATAAAGGATATAGAGAACAATTATTTGTGTATGTTGTGAGGCATTTCATCTTGGCGTACATTACACGCTCATGCAGGCTGTCAGTTTTACAACAATCACGGTTGTGTTTGACGAATAACCTACCGTGTAATGCAGTGATTGACGCCTGCATGAGTCGGTCACCATCCGTTTTTATCAATCATGATTGATGGAATTGATTGACGCCTGCATGAGTCAGTTACCATCCCTTTTTTATCAATCATTATTGATAAAATTGATTGACGCCTGCAAGAGCATGTAATGTACGCCTTAGTCGTCAGAGGTGACACTGACAACACATCCGTAGCCTTCTTCCTTTGTCGTTGTGTGCAGCTGTCTATGGACTGCAGTACCTACGAAACTTCAGGTGAACTATAAGTTCGTGTATAGGGCATGGAATACCGGAATGATTTTCATACCGGTATTGATACCGGTATTGAAATTACAATAACCGGTATACCGAAATTTCGGTATTATTTCGGTATTTTTAAATACTGCTAATAACTATTTAAATGATTCCAATAACGGTTGGTAAGTCTTGTTTGTGGAGAGCAATTAAAGCAATTTCCTACGCTATATGGCAGAAACACTGAAACTATTTATCAACTTCCTAGAGTCCACAAAATAAGATAAAATAAAGGTAATTAAGAATAAAAAAGAAAACACGTTATTTGATCCAACAATTGTTTTTATATTGTTTCATTGGCACAAATATCACAATCGGTAATAAAATCAGTCTTACTATCTAATGATAGGAAAACATTTAACAATTTTAAATATCTTTCTTAGTCACAGTATAAACTACGAGTATGAACTATTGTTAAAACAAAATCAAATTGCAAATGAAAGTATCGAAAGTAATTATTCCAAAATAAATCAAAATGTAGACGCAGGCTTAATTTAACTCAAGTATTCAAGTCTTTTAATCAGGCAAATAGCGTTTGTTGCAAAATCGAAGGAAGAAAGCACAACGCGTCCAAACTGGCGTCATTGAGCGATGATCTTATTTTTTTACAAATGTAACTTGCAGCTGAAAATACCTTTTCTGATTCAACGCTCGTGGGAGGAATACTTAAGAATTAATTGTAAACTACGTCCGAAAACCTACCTCCCGTACCTCCATTTTCATACAATGTCATTTCAATTCGAATAAATGTTTGAATGTCTTCTTCTTCCTCGCCGATCTGGGATCTGTTTTTCTTTTTGGTCATAGATTTTTCTATTGCTTTATTAAGTTACTTCCCCATCACTGAATAGTACCTGTGTCATCTTCACTTGTTTCCTTTTCACCAGAAGCATAAGCGGCAGTAGATGAGCTCATCGCACTCCTGTTTTGTAGAAAGTTGAGAGTCTGTTCTTGCAATCGATGAATATGTTCAGTAATTGACGTAATCATTTCATCACAACTCATTCTAGGAAACTGGATGGTTATCTCGGCGTGTCTCTGCAATTTCTTTGAAATATTCTTCCGGGTTATGAAGATACTGTAAAATTGCAGTCATAGGTTGTCGTATTTCCAATATGCGCTTTCTTAGAGCTTCCGCCAGAGATTTACATAAACTTGTGTTTTGGTTATTTAATTTTCGTAGCATATATCTAAGGGCAGCTTCTGCAGTTAAAAGTGTCTCAGTCATCTTGACTATTTTCGGGCTCTTTTGAATGGAATGCAGCAATTCAAACTCTTCTTGGGAGAACTTGACAGCAGAGTTTAAGTTTATCAGAGTATTTTCAATGCACGTCTTCAGTCGGTAAGTAGCCGGCAAAGATCAGCGACGATATGCATACAGTGTCTTGCGTAGTTGATTTTGAGTTTATTTTTCTACAATCCAGATTATTCGTGATTGATATCATATAAAAACTGAACGTATGAACTGTAGAAATCGAGCGTTCTATAGTTTTTAAACTACCTTGCAAAAATAGATCACTTATTATGAAATACCGAAATACCGGTATTTTATCCTCAAATACCGGTCTTAAAAGTACCGAAAATTTTACCGGTATAGCGGTATTTCGGTATACCGGTATACCGGTATCCATGCCCTATTCGTGTATCGCTTTAGTTTTATAAAAAAAATACAAACTTAAACTAAACAAGTGGTCAAATTAGAAATTTTGTACAATCAACTTCAGTATAAATAAAAAGAGGACATCATCAATGTACTCAAAGTCAATTAAATACGCATTTTTAAGTATAGCTTAAAAACTACCGGTCAGATCTTGATCAAATTTTCATGGAACCACATGAGAAGCACCAGTTTTTAAATAAAAACGGAACCATCAAAATCAGTTCAAAACACACATAAAATATACAGTCGAATTGAGAACCTCCTATTTAGAAGTCGATTGAATACAATAATCGTTTATTGGTTGTGTTCCCTAAAATTTAATCTTTAACAATGGAAAACCAATCTAGTCTTATTTTCGTTCGTATTATATTTGGAATAGGAGGGGGTCTAAGTTAAAATTCACCAACCAGTTGGTAAACTGGATTTTTAAAGCAATATAGAATGGACATTTTCTAGGCTAACGAGTTTACCATATAAAATTCTATTACGACGTTTCGGTAGCACGGTTGCTAAACGTTTAGTTGCGACGCCGGACCCGTGTCAATTATTTGTACGACGCCCATACAAACACGATCATAGAATACTTCAAAACATACAAGTTTTTTATGGTCTGGATGTTTATTTATGTGCAATTTTAACATGTAAAACGCCTGCGTGGCAATGGAGAAAATGTTAAAATATAGGCGGGGATAGCCTTTTTTCCGAGCCGTCACAAAAACGAAAAAAAAATACAAATCGTATCCTTTGTATTAGTATATGTGGATTCAGCAGTAGAAGCTTAACAATGTCCAAAATGTAAAATAGGAAGAAAAACTACTGGCATCAATTTGATAATCCTGTATCATAAACGTTTCTTGCTGCTTCTTAAGAACTATTCAAACGATTGGTGCAAATAATTTATATGAAGAACTGCAGATGAATTCTTCTAAAAAGTCCAAGAACTGTAGACTTGGAGATTGCAGACATTCCTGCACTCATTATGAACTTACAATATGAATTCACCATCATATCAATACATTTTATTGCTGGACAACACTCGCCTATTGCAAGGATGTTGCATCAGGGGATATCTGGCGCTTGTCGTATGGTTTTTACTAAATATGTATCCATACTAATAACATGGCAAAATGATCATGAAGATCCTTTCTGTTTTCTTGCAGTCAAAACTCGAGCAGAAGCGAATTGTTTATACAGTAGTATAAACAAGAATAACAGTAGTATTATCAAAATTCGATAAAAGTGTTACTTCGCATCATTAGCGTATTAAATTAATAACAAGCTTTACTTTATTTTACATATTCTTTCACTGGAAACGAGGCATTCCATCCTAGTCCTCAGGGGTGACAAACGCATATTCTTAATCGAGGATAGATGTAGATGTGGAGAGGTGAACTGCGTGCCCGATTGTCACCCTTGTTCTATCAAAAAAAAAACGACGGGTTGCACTCCGGGAGTGCCGACAGAAGTGAAAACTTGAATATTAACGTCGTGCATTTTTGATATTTTGGAATGGTTAGGGAATAATTTTGCACGAATTGCTTTAATTATCAGTATAAAAGTACTATCATTTATATGGTAGAATACAATATTTATTTATTGCGCTATCGTACACAAACATGACAATTTATATTACATTAAAAAGTTTATCTCTCAGAAAACGCGGCGTACTATCTACTCTCCATCCGTCTTACGAATTTTCGATCAGGTCACGTGTCCTGACGCGAGTTTAACATTTTTTACCCATTACAAAAAAGTGTACAACGCCGCTAAAGAAGTTTTCAATTCAAAAATCTTCTTCTTCGCCATCAAAAATTCCACTGCATGATATGGGCCTCCCGGTGTTAAGTGGGATTTACGCTACTTTTGGTTGCTGATCTGGTTATATTCTACGAAAGATAAATATTACATGCAAATTGCATAAAATGTATTTATTGAAGTGAAAACTTCTTTAGCGTCGTTGTACACTTTTTTTGTAATGTTTAAAAAACGTTAAACTCGCGTCAGGACACGTGACCTGATCGAAAATTCGTAAGAAGGATGGAGAGTAGACAGCCGGCGCGGTAGAGTTGATTTTTCTGAGAGATAAACTACTTTTACACTGATGATTAAAGCAATTCGTGCAAAATTCCCTAACCATTCCAAAATATCAAAAATGCACAACGTTAATATTCAAGTTTTCACTTCTGCCGGCACTCCCGGAGTGCAAGCCGTCATTTTTTTAAATTAATTTTTCTGATTTTCTATAACTTTTTTATGTAAGTGATATAGTAATAGTAAATTGTTGACAAAATTAAACGAGACATTTATTGTTTTATATGTAATTAATGTAAATAGGACGATACAAAGAATTATTTTTTTGACATCTATAAAAATGGTTAAAAGTTATAGTAGGTATAATTTACCATAAGCTTTTCCTCACTAATAGTGCGGACCCCGCCATGGAGTCTGTAGTTGCTAGAAGCGCTACTTTGGGTCATGGCATCACTTATCTATGTAACTACGCTAACAACATACACGACACCACACGTGGAATGACTTCCCAACTCAACTAGTTTTCTTATTTCCTTACTATAACGCACTGCAAGAGTAATCAATCATTCCAATCAAAAATGTATTGTTTACTTAGAAAAGAAATGTTTAATTGTTTACGATCGTTTGTCATAATAATCGAGGCATGCGGTATTCAGCACCGTGCCCCCACATGGACTGTACGTTAGTCCAAGTTTAACCTTCGGCTTGGGTGGTCGCTGGGGCAACAACTAATCACCACAAATGAAAGTTTCATGCGCCGTACACCAAAATTTGTACGAATTGCATGTTAATCTTAAATTAGTGTAGGTACATGTAATGTGATAGTAAGTATTACATATAGTATTGTAATTGAACACTACATTATTTATAATTTAAACGAACTGCAGTTTTTTTTGCGCCCGAAGCAAATATGGGCAACCCTCCGGAAAGCGGGGGAGGGAGGCGATGTATGCTCATAGCATACCACGCAGCCGACTGCGTGGTTATGTGGAGACTTTTACCCACTAAACACCGCCTTTATGCATTGGCTTACCGATCTGACGAGAGATCTCTAAGCAGTATACGAACGCGACCCTCCTTGGCAGAAAGTACTACAGCTCAGTGCAACCATTTTATACGTGGTAGAGTCACGCTGCAGCTATATTATGGTTGTAGCATGAATGGGTCGGCTCGACCAGGGAAGGACCACGCTCTCACCAATGCCAGCAGAATACCAACGTAAAATAGTAGTTTAAAGCTGCTGTGTTTCGTATGGTGATTGTAGAGAACAGGTGACCCTTTTTATTGGAAACGAGGTATTCCATATTAATCTTCACGGGTAATCGTCATAAGTCGTATCGAGGATAGATGTAGATGTCTATGGGCCACAGCAACCACTTACTATAGTTCATAAAAGATAGCTTGATCTCTGCGATTTTCTTAGTAGTACAGATAGTACCTGTCAATGTCATACTTTATGGGCATGCCGGCCTAATTAGTGCAGTACTACTAAGAAATTCAGGACTTCATAGGCGTGATTTTTACTGACAGCTGTCGCAGAGATCAAGCTATCTTTTATGAACTATATCAGGTGGACTGTGTACTCTTGAGCTAATCATACATATTTTCTGTGCATGGGAGAATTTAGGAGATGCTTTGGGTATATTTTGTAATCTTTCTAAGGCTAACGTGTTCACCATGAGACTTTAATCGGGTAGCTACATCATTATGATGTGAAAGACCTAGCGCTTAAACTTATTACGTCATATCTAATTAATAGAACGTAAACAGTTGTAATTATTGGAAGCAGTTCTTCTAGATCGGTAGTTATGGGATATGGGGAGGAGCTTTGCCTTGTTAAATCCACTGCTTTTCTCGAAATCACAGTAGACGCGAAGCTTCAATGGGACCCTCATATTATATCCAAACTAGCGAGCAAACTTAGTTCTGCAGCATATGCTGTAAAAAATAGAGACCTTACATGTGTTGATACAGCTAAATTAGTTTATTTTAGTTATTTCCATAGCATAATGTTATAATTATGGAAACTTGCCATGAGAAAATGCGACTGAGATTGAAACTATCTTTGTTTTGTAGAAAAGAGCCATAAGAACAATTTATAACCTAGGTCCAAAAGAATCTCTTAGAGAAAATTTTAAAGAAATAAATATATTAACTTTGGCTTCCCAATAT